ACGGTACACAACAAAAGCTCGCCTCGTCTCTCTGAGGCCGTGCTCCTCGGCCTTGGCACCGCCTTCGTGGCCCCATGCTGGGCTCTCATCCTTTCAAGCAAGCAAGCAGGAAGAGACGTCGAGTAAACGAGCGGCAAGATCTCCAAGTTTTCGCCAAAAGTTCTAGCGGTCGATTCCTGTTCCATTCTTTTCAGCCATCGTTCTTTTCAAAAGCCAGTCATTTCCCCAGGGTTTGTGGTGGTGTTCCAGAAAGAAGGATCCCCGGAAAGAACGGGGAAGCTACCCCTAGAAAAGTACTATTCTTTTTTGTCCTTGGCTGTGTCTAAGTTCCTGGAGTCTAGCTGCGTCTATGTTTCGATCACGAGAGGGATGCAGGAGCGATGGCTTTGGGATGTCGCTGAGGTGAATTGCCAAGGCTGGATCCCAAGCCAGCACTCATTGCACTGAGATGGTTTGAAGACAAAATCAAGACTCAGGCAATTGGAGGGGACACTCCCCTTACATATTTCTTTGCCCGGTCGACCTTTCTATTCTTCTTGAGCTGCGAGGCAGGGAGCCTTGCCTGAGCTGGGCCAGATTGTGGGGGCCTTGGAGTAAATCAAGCAGCCACGGAGTGTTTTTGGGCGCCTTGTCAGGCTCTGGCCCAATCTGCGCCACAGCAGCTTGGATCGCAGCTGAGAAATCCTTGGCGCCCCAGCCCCTGGGGATTCTCAGGAACCTGACGCCCCTCGAGAAGTTCGGCCCAGACCCTTTCTTCTACACCTACATTATCGTGTCTATTCTTGTGGTGCTGGTGCCTTGATACGCAGCGAGCTTGTGTTGTTCGTTTGTTTCGTTTGTTTCTCCGTTTTTCCCCCCGCGTCTCTGATTCGTATAGCGGGAGCCATGCAAGATATCAACCGAAGCGGACTGTTCCTTGACCTTGCGTCAGAAGTTAAGTGATGTTGGTTTTTCCTGTTTAGGGCTGGTTCGAAGGGGAGCCAACGGAACACCACCAAAGGCACAGATCCATTGCAGCTGTCTCTTGTGTCGCCCTGACACAAGGTCTCCCTGTACCTCATCACGAAGCCGTACTGGGAACAGCGATGGTTGATCGAGCGCATCAACTCGCAATCCAGCTGCACTCAGGCTTTCTGTGACTGAGTCAAGTAAATTGTAAGCCCATGGGCATCCACACACACACATTGCCCACCCAGGCAGAAGCTCAAGTTCATCACCAACGAGTCCGAGGCAATGAAAATGAATTTTGAGCTACAGAGGGTTGCAGGAGCTGCTGCCTTACTGTCTTGCGAACTCTGTGCGAAGAGATCGGGAAAGTGATAACAGACGCAAGAGCAAGAGACGATCCGCACGGAAGTTGCCAATTTGACTGAGTTTTCCCACAATAATTTAAATCCATACTCCATGCACGAATGTAGGCATGCTCCAGTGAATCAACGAGCCCAAAAGCTGCATTGTCACAAAGCACGAACGCCCGTACACAGTCTTGCCTGTTTTGTTTCTTTTGTTCCTTTTGTGACTTCGCCTGATGTTCCTGGATGCTGCTTGCTGGGTCTTTGGTCTGACTGCCATTGTGGGCTGCGCGATCAATGAGAAGATTGAAGTGAGCCGCGAGCCGCCGCGGACGTTGCAGCAGGTGTCGCAGGTGATGCTCTCCCTGGGCGGGTTTGTCTTCGCGGTGTTGCTGCACCGCCGGGTCTCCGGGTCCTGGTGGTCCCCTGGGAAGTTCCTGCTGGTCTTGGGTGCGTTTTGGCTGGTGCTGGAGAACCTGGACACGGCGCTGGGCGGCGTGCTGTTTGGAGACCACCCCTGGGGCGAGGCCATGGCCAGCATGCCCATGCTGGGCGCCATGCCGGCGCAGCAGCCCATGTCCCTGCAGCCTCTGCTGTTTCTGCCCCTGCATCTGGCGGAGTCCTGCCTCCCAGCCCGCTCCCCCTGGCCCCGGGCCATCCTGGCCGCCCTCTTCGCCACTTTGTTGGACGCCGCGGCGGAGCCCGCGTGGCTCGCGTCGCGGCTCTACAGCTATACCGGCTGCGCGAGCCCGGAGAGCTGCATCCACGGGGTGGACCCCCGGAACTATGTCTCTTGGTTCGTGTTTATGAGCCTGGGCTACCGCACCTTCATGCTTTGGGATGGGCGCTCAACTGCGCGGAGCATGCCATGGTCCATGGCGGTGCTGCCGTTCTTGGCATGGTTCGCACAGCTGAAGTGGTTCTTCAACGTGATTGGGCACGCCGGTGGAGGGCGTGGCGTACAACTCAGCAGCTTCTTTGTTGGCAGTGTTCCAGCCGTTGTTGCTGCCTGCCAGTCCAGACACGCAGAAAGAATGCCCGAGAAGTTGAGCTAACACTCGACGCAAGGCGCGCCAGCACGGCGCGGACGGGAGATCATGGTCAAGCTTTTGTCAAGCAGCCGGCGCTGCGCCAAGGAAGCGCCGAGGATTGCTGGCAGGAAAATTGGGGCTACCGGCATTGTTTGTTTGTTTGTTTGTTTGTTTGTT